ATATATATATATAAAATTTATATATTCATCATATTATAAATTCATTTTCAATTATTCATATATTATCATCATCTCATAATTATAATAAATGTCATCTAAGACTTTGTCTGCGCGGTCGCATAGCTTCTAAAAACGACGTGTCAAACAAAGAACGGATTGTTTCACAAAATAGTCCTCTCTGCGAGATTTATCGTTTCTCACAATTTGTCACAGAAGTCCTGAATCACTCACCCCGTATAGAAAATTACCACAAATTTGCTATCACGCCATGCACAGCAAGGTTTATTCTGATCTTGTTACAAATTTGCTATCATATCGTGCATGGCAAGGTTTGCCCTATTCTTGCCACAAATTTGTTGTCATGCCGTGCACGGCAAGGTTTGCTCTATTCTTGCCATAAATTTGCTGTCATGTCATGCACGGCAAGATTTGCTCTTTATTTGCGCAAAATGTGCATCACACTATTGCGACAAGCCTTGCCAGCAAAAGCTAAGCTTTTTGCGGACACACCTTGTCACAATTTTGCTGTAAAGGCATGCTCGGGTTTGCTGCAAACTTTGCGCAAAGTTTGCATCATTTTGCTTGCTGGGAACCTTCTATATAAATCCGCCCCTGCCTGCTATATTCCAAAAGCAAATTTTTAAACCTTTCTCACCATCCTCCATCTCCTTTCCGCCTTTTTTGTCATATTCTCATTCGTATTCTCTTCCTCTTCTTTCCTCCTCCAATTTCTCTTCTTTCTCGTTTCATCTGTACCATCGATCCTTCAAGTTAATTTTCTTATATCCAACTTTTACCTTATTATCGCCTTTTTCCTTTTTTTCTCTTGCCATTTCCTTTAATTTCTGTTATATCTCACTTTCTTTTCTTGTTAAATTATCCTCTATTATTAATATATATTCCTCAACTCTTTCTTCTTACTCATGATCTCTCTTTTTGCTTCCAACTATCTATCTCCGCTATCATTAAATTTTTATTTCCATTCAATTTTATTTTGTTTGCCTTTTTTATCACTATGTCCACTATTAAACTGTCCTTTATGTATTTTTCCACTTCATATTCTAATTTCTCCATTTCCCAGTTCACTCCTTTTATTACAATATTGTTCCTTCTGTCTTTCCTCTCCTTTCTCTCATTAATCCATTCCAACACTGCTATTCTCTTCTCTAATATTCCTTTCTCTTGTTTCCATTCCTCTTTCTTTTTTTTCTTTCTTCTTCTCTTGCTTTTCTTTCTTCTCTCATTTCTTTTTTCGATTCTTCTATTTTCATTATTTTTTTTTCTAATCCTCTTCTTCGCTTCCTGAAATATATTTGTCTAGTGACTTTTCTTCTCCCTTGCTCTTACTCCTGCTTCCTGTCTGTTTCCCAGTCATTGGCGCCATCTGTAGTCCCTCTTCTGAACCGTCTTCCTAATACTTTTTCACCCGTATCTTGATGTTTCCTAATCTCTCTTCTTCGTTTCACAATCTTATCTCCTTTTATTTTCTGTCCTCTCTTCTTGTCCTCTTTGCCTTCTTTTCTCCGTCTTCATTACAACTTTCTCTTGCTTTCCACTCATTTACTCTTCTATTTCTCACCTTTTATTTCGAAAGTTTAATAACTTTTCTCTTACTGCTTGCTTTGCCCATGCACATTCCATTCGTGTCCCACCGGAAGTCCCAATAAAATTATTATATTTTTCCTTCAATTAACAATTCCATTTCTACTTTTTAACTATAAGAATTTGTAAAACACGGAATTGTTTTTTTATGTTCTTTTTTTTCAGGGTGTCTACTCAAATCTTGTAAAAAATATTCCCAGAGAATTCCCTGATATTCCAGGTATTTTTGTTCAAAATTCCAAGTAAAGAAAATATTTTAAAGATTTTTTGGTGCAATTTCCTAAAATAAGTTTTTATTGTACGCGTTTTTTAATGTTTTTCATTCAAATGAAGGAAAAACATAAAGCCACTTAAGTTTTAAGTACTAGATTTACAAATATACTGAAAAAAACTGAATAGCTTTTGTTAAGATAAAAATTTTTAATTTGTATAACATTTTCATTTTCTCTTGCCATTTCCTTTAATTTCTGTTATATCTCACTTTCTTTTCTTGTTAAATTATCCTCTATTATTAATATATATTCCTCAACTCTTTCTTCTTACTCATGATCTCTCTTTTTGCTTCCAACTATCTATCTCCGCTATCATTAAATTTTTATTTCCATTCAATTTTATTTTGTTTGCCTTTTTTATCACTATGTCCACTATTAAACTGTCCTTTATGTATTTTTCCACTTCATATTCTAATTTCTCCATTTCCCAGTTCACTCCTTTTATTACAATATTGTTCCTTCTGTCTTTCCTCTCCTTTCTCTCATTAATCCATTCCAACACTGCTATTCTCTTCTCTAATATTCCTTTCTCTTGTTTCCATTCCTCTTTCTTTTTTTTCTTTCTTCTTCTCTTGCTTTTCTTTCTTCTCTCATTTCTTTTTTCGATTCTTCTATTTTCATTATTTTTTTTTCTAATCCTCTTCTTCGCTTCCTGAAATATATTTGTCTAGTGACTTTTCTTCTCCCTTGCTCTTACTCCTGCTTCCTGTCTGTTTCCCAGTCATTGGCGCCATCTGTAGTCCCTCTTCTGAACCGTCTTCCTAATACTTTTTCACCCGTATCTTGATGTTTCCTAATCTCTCTTCTTCGTTTCACAATCTTATCTCCTTTTATTTTCTGTCCTCTCTTCTTGTCCTCTTTGCCTTCTTTTCTCCGTCTTCATTACAACTTTCTCTTGCTTTCCACTCATTTACTCTTCTATTTCTCACCTTTTATTTCGAAAGTTTAATAACTTTTCTCTTACTGCTTGCTTTGCCCATGCACATTCCATTCGTGTCCCACCGGAAGTCCCAATAAAATTATTATATTTTTCCTTCAATTAACAATTCCATTTCTACTTTTTAACTATAAGAATTTGTAAAACACGGAATTGTTTTTTTATGTTCTTTTTTTTCAGGGTGTCTACTCAAATCTTGTAAAAAATATTCCCAGAGAATTCCCTGATATTCCAGGTATTTTTGTTCAAAATTCCAAGTAAAGAAAATATTTTAAAGATTTTTTGGTGCAATTTCCTAAAATAAGTTTTTATTGTACGCGTTTTTTAATGTTTTTCATTCAAATGAAGGAAAAACATAAAGCCACTTAAGTTTTAAGTACTAGATTTACAAATATACTGAAAAAAACTGAATAGCTTTTGTTAAGATAAAAATTTTTAATTTGTATAACATTTTCATTTTTTATTAGTAAAAATTAAAATAAAGAAAATGTATTGCATATTCAATATTTTGTTAAGACATTGAATATATAAATAAAGATTGATATATATTTATAATATATTTTAAATACATAATTCATAACTTGGCTTATCGGCGGGTGCGATTGCCTATTGCTTACAGTATAAGAGCAAAATTATTAAAGAAAGAATTTTTTTTTAATTCCCCGAATCCCGATAAAATTCCATGAAAATTCTCTGATTTCTCCAGTTACAAAAAGATTCCCTGAGAATTCCAGGTTTTCCATATTTTTCCAGGAAGTAAGCATCTTGTTTTTTTAAGATGACTAAAGATCTTGCACTCACTTCTGATCTTCCGGAAAGTAGAGAAGCGCCAAAAGCGTTGGATCGGAGAAAGCCGCCTCGGCGGTGACGAAGGCCTCCTTGCTGAGAACGAAGCTTCGCTCCAGATCGCCACGTCGGAGGTATTCCGCGGATTCGTGCACCAACTCAAGCGCAGTCTTAATCCTGTTCCCAACCACGTCCGTGATAACGATGTTGCTGATCTCCTTCAACAATCGCGCCAATGATTGCAGGGTTAGTTTCGCCGAGGTCAATTGCTCGACGGTGCGAAACCTCAGTAAAGAATCGATCTCCCAGTCGCGCGATTTTAGCCCCATCAATGGCATCGTCGTCACTCCGTCGATGGGTTTCTGCGAATAGTTTACGCGTGTCATGATTATTTTATTTTATATTTGAACGATTCTCTCTCTCGCTCTCTCTATTCGAAATTAAAAGTTCATAAAAGCAATTGCTCGAGAAAGCTTAACTTCTAATTTAATGAGTTTTTAGTACGTTGTTAGAAGTTGCTGTTACCATTTCCGGGATGCCCAACAATAATCTGAGTTGTGCCAAGAACGTGCCTACTACAGCGGTCTCCTCGGGAACAATAGTGACGGTTTCATTCTCCCGCGCATCTTCGCAAGCCTTTGACGGTGGGTTAATCAAAACCACGCCACCCCATCTATGTTCGTTAATACGATATCAATGATAAAAATTAGCTAATATTAAGCTAATATTAATATATTAAAAGATAATACTAATAATTGCACATTGATCTTTGAAAAATTAGTAAACACGGTAATCATAGACATAAACAATCCTGTCGTAATGTTCATGCACTTAAAATAAAAGTAGCAGTACATAATTACGATGAAATAAAATTAATTGTCCAGAGGCAAAGGGAGTACCTCGGGGAGAGGAAAGCTTCCACATTGCTGTCTGTTCGCGACTTATGTCCACTGCGGGTGTAGATATGCAGGGGCGCGCTGCTGCATGGTACCGTGTAGACGACCAGGTTAATACACGGATGAAGACTGACCTGCGACGCTAAAATTCAGTCAGAAATGCTTGGTACGCATAACTCTTTACGTATGCGTTACGTACCTAATTTTTTCTCCAACGGGGTCACCAGCTGCGGCAAAACGCTCTCGCGTAAGGCGAAATGCCTGCGGCTTGGACTGCTATCGGGCACGCGTCTGGGATTCACGTCCAACGGCAGTAGATAGAGCCACTGCGACTTGACCGAGAAATTACTCAAGATGGATAGTTCGTCTACAAACGGCTGTATATATTCTACGACAAAAAAGAAATTAAATTCTAGTCTCTTCTAATAAATTATATTATACTTTCTTAATTAAAGATCAGAGCAGGTGTTTAATAATAAGTTAAATAAATATAGTTTAATAAATAAATAATAATTAAAGTTTAATAAATTTTTTGTATAACGTAATTAATTATTGTGTTAACTCCCTAGTAAACACAAAGTAAAACTGAAAAAAACTGAATAGCTTTTGTTAAGATAAAAATTTTTAATTTGTATAACATTTTCATTTTTTATTAGTAAAAATTAAAATAAAGAAAATGTATTGCATATTCAATATTTTGTTAAGACATTGAATATATAAATAAAGATTTCCCACTCAACAATGTAACTGCAATATAACATGCCTTGTACGTAACAGTGATGTACCTTCAGTCACTGTCCTTAAGTTCCAATCGATCTTCAACTTCTCGGGATCAGGATTAACTAGGGTGATCAGAACATCGTATGCCGGACTGACTGGAAATCGTCTCCTGTTCTCCTCGTCCAAATTATACACGGTGGGTTCGGCGAGCGCGTTCTTTGTCAGTGCCAATGACTTATCGTGAAGAATCCATTCCGACAATACTTGCACCAATTTAGCAGCACCTAGAGATGATGATATTTACATATATAAAATGTAAGATATAAGAAAATATAAAGAATATCTCTGCCATAAACGGGTACGTCGACAGTAACCCAGTGTTATGCGAATCAAAACATGTGTTTCTAAATTGTTTTGAAATTAGGACCTCGTTGCGATAGGTGTTTAGGTAATAAGCTGACGTGGTCTCAAGTAGACCACAATTTAACAATTTAATTGTTTCTGATTGACTTACTGGTTTTGGTAGAGAAATACAGCGTTCTATTGGAGCCGATTAGAACGGCGTCATTTAAATTCGTCGCTTCTAGTAGCAGCAAGCTACCCATGTCCAGGTCGAAAGTCGAGGCTACCTTCTCAAGCTCGTGATACGTGAAGGCGTATGCCAGCAGATTGTTGGATATCACTTGGTGCTTCACATCCAATTGGTAGATTTCTGAAAATCGCAAATTAAAATCAGAAAAAAAGCGATCTAAAGCCTATATCGACATCGATTTTTCTAGGCGAGTTAATTCGCCAAATGGAGGTTGTTGGAAATATTGAGATAGACATTCCAATGTATTATCAAGGCTAAGCATTCAAAGATAAGCGTCTGAGGCGGCGGCGTCTGTTTGAAGCCACCTGCATATAGTTCTTAAAACCGCATATCGAGTTGCAAACTGCGCGTGCATACGCGGAATCTCTCTTGTCTCCGTTTTATCGAATTATATTTTTTCACACCTCGCGGCCTACACTTTGATAGTATATAAAGAGCGACAGCATTCCAATCCGCGCACTTGATCAGAAGTCTTCGAGGAGTTAACATGCATCGTACGTGTAAGATCATTTCGCCGCAAGCACTTAATCAAGAGGTGTACTTTTATACGAATAAATCTATATAATATCCAGTAATACCTAGGGTTGCCACCCGTACTTTAAAATAAAGTATTGTACGTTATTTTGGACGTACATACTTAATATTTTGTAAAGCAATAAAGTACGCTAATATACTTTATTTTACGAATACTAAGTTTTCATTAACACGTTCACGG